ACGCCTTTAGCACACAACAAACCTGAGATGGAAAAGCCAAAGAAATTAGGCCTTTCAAATTTAAGCCTATAAAATCAGAAAGGTACTTCCAAATGGCTTGTTTAATTTTTTGTCATTCCTCTCCTCACAGATCAAAGATAACTTTCTGTTTATATGGCCCTTCAAAGGCAAGAGCTTAGGGGTTTTTTTAATAATCAAAAAATTGTTTCCTTTATTGAACAATATTATGGTACAAAATTCTGATGTCTTTTTCAGATTTAAAAAATGTAATGATATTAAATTCTATTATAGCATAATATTTAAAACAACACAATATTCAAGCATGGCATTCAAATTTTTCACAAAACACATTTTCTACCAGATTAAAAATCTTTATTCATATATATCATTTGTATATCTTTATGGGGTATCACAGCAATTCAATATAGGTGTACAATTTTTTTTAATATCAAAATGAGTGGGATGTCTAGTCAAGATGACTTCGTAACTTCACACTTTGACACTCCTCCTCAATGTCTAACACATAGCTGTCATACAGAAAATTTCTAAAAATAGACAACTAAAAACATAAATCCAAGTTCAAAACAGGATAAACATCTCCCCTAGACAAGAAAAAGAGGAAAATGAAAAGTAGTAAATGAGCTAAAACTGCTGGCTTGCCAAGATATAATCCTAGAAAGGGAAGCTCAGTGTGCATAGGTGAAAAGAAACTACTTGCTCAAGAATGATTGTGAAATATTTTATATAGGTACAGAGATGATAGGTAGAAAAGGAAGAAGGAAGGAAGGAAGGAAGGAAGGGAGGGAGGGAGGGAGGGAGGAAGGGTGGGCAAGCAGGAGGATAAACATGCAGAGAAAGACTGCAATCTGAGATTCTGACTTAGCTTCCAGCCCAGAAAGACCTCAGACAGCAGACAAGTAGTAGGTCCTGAACTTCACCAAGAATCCTCTGTCAGCTGTGTGCATGGACCTGTAGACACCTTCAATATCATTATAGGACAGAATTACCAGTATCCATTATCCAAGATTCTGGTCTAGATGTGAGAGGATCTGACAGGACTCTCATGATGCAGGCAGGTTGGGCATAGCAGAAGAGCACAAGAGAACAAGAGTGGAAATAAGGAAAAGAGAAAAAAACCAAAAACATTCCCATTCAAAATGAGCCTGCGCATGATATTGAGAATGGAACAAAGCAAAAAACTCATGCAATATGAATCACTCTAAATAATTCATATGAGTCTAGTAAAAACTGTAAAATAAATATTTGTAGGATGCCAGAATGCACAAATGAAGAAATAACTTCCAGCTAAAAAAAGAAATTATAAAATCAAATAGGCAGAGAGTAAATACAAAAATTATGGAAAAGATTCAAAATCTTGAAAATAAAAAATAATCAGAAAAATTTAAAACTCAGTCAATAGAATAAACTCTATAGTCAGGAGACAAAGAAACAAATGATACCCGAGAATAATACTGGACAGAGAAATTGTGATTTATTTTAAAGAACAAAAACAAGATTAAGAAATTTAGAAGACACATATATGGCTTCAAAAAATGAAACGGAAAAGTCAGGGAATATCAAAAAGCAATATGTGAAGTTCAGTTAAGAATTTTTACAAATGGAAAGAATATATAATTTCTAAGATCAAAAGTGCATGTGAGTATAGAGAAGAATTTACAATGATTAATCCACACCCACACTCATTATCCCAAGTACATACAGGATCTTAAAGCTGCCAGAGAGAAAAGTTAAAGTAACAAAAGAAGAGCTTTTACATTGAACTGAGAATGGCTTCACATCAGCAATTGAAAGCAGAATATAATCAGATACTATATTTAAAGTTCTAAAAGAAAAATCAATTTAAAATTCTCAGCAGTTAAGCCATTATTCAGGGGTGAAATGAAGTGTGATATGACGATGGGTTTACTATCCACAGATACAAGAGGTATTAAAGATACTTAGGAAGAAGGTAGGTAGAGAGGTGAACCTGGAGGGAAGGCATAGAACCCAAGAAACAACAGAAAAATGTTGCCAAATTCGTTAGACCTTTAAAAAAATCAATTTCCATGAAAATAGAAGAGAGACAGAGGAAGAAGGGGAGGGAAAGGGGGGGAGCACAGGGGAATCAATCAAGCCAATTGATGGATGAGTATGTATGAATATGTCACAATGAATCCTGTTATTTTATAAAATAACAATGCACCAATTTTAAAAATGAAAAATACCATAAATAAATAAACTTCAAAATCAATTTGAAAAGTATACGTTCATCTTACGGGGTAAAAATAGAAAATATATGTTCTATGTCCAACATTCATAAAATACAAATTAAAAAGCACACAAATTAAGCATCATCCTTAGTCTCAGCATATAGTGATAGCCATTGAAAATATTAGTGAAAGCAATTCTGGTATCATCTCATTGCATATTTTTATAAAAGTTATGTCATATGACTCAAATTGTCTTCATTTTTCTATTTTGCACATACATCCTTCCATGTAAATTATTATCCTATAACTCTAGCATAGGAACTGAATAACATTAAATTATATAAAGTATTTGACTTAACTCATAAACCTATCACATCCACTTTTCGTTTATTTACATTTTTACAACCCTTTCCTTGGTTTTCGATACACAGAATTTACAGATTGTTCAGGTCCTTCTAAAAGTTTACAAATAAAATGTCCTTTACAAATCAAATGTTTCAGCCATATTGGTTAACATCATTATAGACCATTATAGATCTAAAGAACAAAACTGTTAAGAACACCAGAAAAAAATGTTCCATTTATCAAGTTTTACTTTTTAAAATAATTCAAATTGAGTATTTGATTTTGAACTCCATTACAAGCAATATTAGTAGAAGTAGATGAACACTTCAACTTGACTGTGTAATTTATTTTCATAAAAATCTCTTTAGAGATCCCTGTCTAGTCAGCAAATAATTGCTTTAACTCAGATTTTAATATTAGCACTGAATGATTTATGTACATTAAATAATGTGATTCTCACTAACCATTTATGAGCTAAGAATGATTATCTCCCTTCTGTGGATAATCACACTTCAGGGAAGAAAGGTTAAGTGGTTTGCCTAAGATCACTCAGGCAGTCAATGGATTATCTCAAAATATGATCCTTGAGTCTTTAAATCATTAGACTGTGCAGACCTCAGCAATACTTGAAAGGCATAAGGGATATGCACTTAGATTTTTCATCAAATGATTTATATGGCAAAATATCTAATTTGTTTATAGAGTATTTTTTGTTTCTTACAACACAATTTAGTCTATAAACAAATACAACATAGTATAAAAATGAATGTGATAAGAATCTCCCCATGGGGAAAACTCTTGTGGATTTAAAGTAGCAATTTCCAAAATAGTATATAAACTAAGCAGACAATAGAATCAGCTATTTGTTGAAGGGTCAGAGGGAGAAAGGGAGGAATAACAGAAAGGAGATAAAGTGACTTCCTTTGCAGAACTGCAACTCAGGTTCAGATTCCAACAAACTCTAAGAGAAATCATATTGTTAGTAAAGACGTGCATTCCCCAAATCTATTCCTTCCATCTCCAGTAGGAAGCATCCATGCATGTCAGCCTGACCATAATCAACGACAACGGCAAGTGGCTTCATAGATCCCTACAGTACAGTTCACACAAACTGGGAACTCTTAGAATTTAAGAATATTCCAAAGTGATCAGATCAGAATTAGAAATGACTTTGGTAAACTTGAGTGGAAGCCAAAAAAGTAGTGGAATGATTTATTGAAGCAACACTATAAGATTTGTATTTTTAGGTAAGAGGACAGAAGGAGCCACCCAAGAGGGTGGCTTAGCATTTTGTAGGAAGATAGGGAAGGGAAGGGCTCTGGCTTGTTTTTCTCCATTCATCTAAGCCTATAGTTATTTAAAAAATAATAAAATAATTTAACCAATAATTATTTAATAAAATTGACTTTGTGTGTTTTAAAAGTAGAATGAACAATGACTCAGGTTTACCAGGAATGTTCCTAGTTTTTGCACTGAAAGGATCAAGGCAAACTGGAAAGACTGTTCAAAATTCAAAGTAAAATTTAATCTATGATCACTGTCCAAAATTTAAAAAATACAAATAAACCAAAATTAGAATTAATATTATTCACATTCTCAGTATGCAGAAATAGCTATCAATAATATCAGTAAATATATTCCTATTATCTCTACAGAATAAACTTCATAACAGTGCCAGTTAATACTGCTACATATGGCAAGTGTCTAGGTAATATCATTGGAATTGTCTTTTAAAATTCTAAATGAAGTGTTTTAAAAGAACGTCAAGTACTTTGTTATATGTGCCTATTCATCTGATTGCATCAATTTAGAAACTCCTGATAAATTTTCAATTGTGTGTTGACCATTTCTGCTATTCATCTTCAAATTCCCTTAACCTTACACTTTTCTTTATCTCTGAAACAGTACCAGCTGGTACATTAGCAGCATGCTTTCTGAGTTCTGATAACTGTATCACAGTGTAATCTCACTGCTCAGGGGTATGCAGCCTTTCATTTCTTATTCCATTTCTATTTCCCCTGTAGGCCAAGGAGGAGAATTTTCTACCTAGGGAGTTTAGCATCATTTAACATTGATGTTACTTGTCCAACAATCTCCTATGTGAGTAAGACCATATGTCAACCACAGTTAGCACTTAAAATTTATCAATACCTACTTATACACATAAAGCTCTTTTTGTTTTGCAGGGGATTTAACTTTCTGAATGCATTTCAAGACCTGATTGAAAGTCAGGAGGAGAGAAGGAAAATGAAATGCAGTGTTAGAAAAAGAAATATATCTTTTATCTATCCGAAAATGTTCACAGTTGGTTGAAGCCATATTTCAGGATTATTGTGATCCATAAAGTACCTCTCTCATTGAAGTAGTACTTACCATCCATGTGTGAAGTCACTCTATTCTTGCCGATAACGCATACAATAATGGCCTCTTCTGTTTTACTTCTAGCTTCACAATGCCGGGTGACAGTCCTGGGTTTGCCTGTATGATTGAAATGGCTGTATATGGAAAACCTCCATTATGGAAAAAAGACACAGAGGTTCCGGATACCTCTCAGGTAGGTCTGCAAATATCTAGTTTCAAATGCTAATTGTGCCCTTAGCGTTTCAAATAACTATTCACTTTATGTTATTAAGCATTAATCATATTTCTCAGTGGAACAGATTATTTGTAAAAACTCTCAGCAAAGCACCAGAAATTTTATCTCATTCTTTAGGTTATAATTAAATATTCGACTTTGCCTATTACTAAAATGTTTTGTTAAACTTGAAAATAAACTGATTTTTCTGTCACACTTTGAATTTAATATATTGTGCTTGATTTTAAAAAAAGACAATTTAAAGAATGAGAAAGTAACAAGATACAGCAACTTAGAAAACTTATAATACAAAACTTGTATTATTGTTTTCATAGGATGTGATAGTACTCTTGTAGTCTTGTTTACAAGCCCACTCTCAGCCTTCTAGATTTGCACTAGCTGGGTATTTTTTCTTAGAAACATCAAATCAAGCTAAATTGGAAGAACAGAGGATGTCTGTCTCTCCAGAGACCAAGCAATCTGCTGAATTCTTTTCATTTTAATGATGTGGTTGGTTATATGCTTCTTAGTATGACTTTCTGGCAACAGAGTTAAGATAAAGAATTCTTGGTTCATTTGTCAATGTAGAGAGTTAATCTGTATAATTAGAGCTCTAAAGTGCTAATTTTGGTACACATTAAAATTTGCAATATGCACGGCCCTAGCAAATTGGAAATTTCATTTCATTTCCATTTCTTTTGTATAGTTTCTTGTTGTGTGTATATAGTCATCCAAAGGAAGCACACACAAACATCTAACATTTGTCTAAGCACATTATATTTTCCAAACTATGGCCAAACTATGCATTATCTCATTTGATATTTACAATAACACTGCAAAGTAAAAGTGATTATCTCTTTTCTATGGCTGAGGAAACTGAATATAGACTTGTACAAAATTTTATAGTAATAACGACAGGGACTTGACTCCAGTCATTTTGATTCCTTACCCTTTTTTGTTCTTGTATTACACTCTACTACTCTTGACTTGCTACTGCAGCAAAGTTAAAACTGTTCAAGTGAGTTGCTTAGGTAGAAACAAAGTTATTTCATGTTTTAAAAAGTCATGCCAAGAGAGCTAAATATTTATACTCAAGACCTGGAATATTCAAGTGGCCCAAGATATATGAAACACTCAGAGTTTTTTGAAAAAATTCAACATAAAATTTTTATTATAATTACATCTATGTTAACTCTGTATAGTTATCATTTTGATATTAAAAGCTCCATATTTTCTTATAAATAACATGTGCTGTGCTAACATAGACATTGATGAATCACATAATTAATAAATAGAATTAAAATGCCCAATAATATATATTTGTTGTTGAATACTTCAAATATGACTTATAGTCTGTTTGACATCAGTCACTTGTCCTTGAGGCTGATTAAATAAAATACTGATCAGAAAGTCCCAGATAATGCACCTGCACACACAGAGACCCAGTACATGAGAACAGAATTTATGATTAAAATAGAAAATAATTTGGATAATTTGAGGAGGTAAATAAAGAATGCATGCAGGCTTTCTAAAGCCTCACCTGCTCTTCACTACTATTACGATAGGAGGCACCACAGCTTTTACAGCTCTTGGTCTTCTAGTGTTCAGTCCAATTCAAGTGCTCCAGAGTCTGAGTGGATAAGACTCTGAATGCTACCTCCTAACTTGTATTAACCACAAAGTTCAGTTCAGTCATTCTGTGGAGGTCGAGCATGATGGGATTCTCTCAACCAGACCCCAGTCCCAGGGTTCTGGTACAGACAGACATTCCCTAACTTAACAATGGTTCTACTTACATTTTTTTTTACTTTACAATGATGCCAAGGAACAAGCATTCAGTAGAAGCCACACTTGTAGCTCCAAGTCAGCCACGTATTCATTAGAATGTATAACTAGTACTCTCAAGTGTACTGTGTTGCTAAGCTATGATGTGCGGTAGGTTAGATGTACTAAGTGCATTTTTACTGACAATTTTTCCAGCTGACAATGGGTTTATTTAGACATAGTCTCTTCTAAGCCAAGGAGCATCAGTTTCAACCTCAGCACCCTCTTGTAACCAGCCTCCTTGATAAATGCCCTTTTCTTTCCAAATCTTGACAGGTCCTTGTCCGAGAAAAGACACCTAGAGATGGCTTCCAATTGTGAATTATACCTATTCACTGTAGAATGTGGAGGTGTGTAGAATAAAGACATAAGCACTGATAAAATTGTGAGGCAAAGCCATTTAATTCTAAGAGTCATTGACTTTGACACAGACTATCAAAAAAAAAAAAAAAGGTACCTTTAACTCCTTACAGTATTCTGTATTTCTCTACATAACTATTTTATAATTTCATATATTTTAATGATGCTTTCTAGAGGCCTTTTATTTCAACTTGAAGGACACCCTTTAGCATATGTAGTAAAGCAGGTCTAGTGATGAACTCCCTCAGTTTTTGTTTATTTGGGAAAGACTTTCTGTCTTTTTCATCTTTGAAGGACAATTTTGCCCAGATACAGCATTCTTGGTTGGCAGATTTTTTTCAGCACTTTGAGTATATCATCCTTCTAACGTGAAAGGTTTTGAGAAGTTTGTGTGGAGAAATATGCTGTGAGTCTCATGGGAGTTTCAAATTTTGTGACAAGTCACTTTTCTCTTAAATCTTCCAAAATTCTCATTGACTTTCAACAGTCTCATCACAACATGACTCAGAGTGGACTTCTTTAGGACTATTCCACTGGGAGTCCTTTGGGCTTCTTGAATCTAAGTGCCCATTTCCTTTCCAAATTTTCAGTTTTCATTTATTATTTTTTCAAATAACCTTTCCCTGTTTCTTCTCCCCAGCTCCTCTTTTCCCCCTCCCCCCTCATCCCTCCCTCTCTCCCCTTTCTCCACTTCCCCCTCCCCCTCCTCCCTCCTTCTCCTTCTTCTGTTTCTTCTTCCATATGGTATATATTGACTCACCTAATACTGTCCTTTAAGTTCCTTAGACTTTCTTCAGTCTTTTTAAATTTTCTTCTTATTTCTCTAACTGGATAATTTCAAATGATCTGGCTTCTGGTTAACTGATTCTCTGTCTCCTGTTTGATTAAATCTGCTCTTGAACTTCAGTGAATTTTAAAATTTTAGGTATTTTTTTAAGTTTTTGATTGGTTCATTTTTGTATGTTCTTTCTCTCTGATGATAATCTCATTTCTGCACTGTTTTCCTGAACTCATTGAACACTTTTAAGATTGTTAGTTTGAATTCTTTGTCAGGTAGTTTAAATACCTCTGTTTATTTAGGATTGGTTTCTGGAGATTTACTTTGTTACGTTGGCGGGGATTAGGTTTCCTGTTTATTCCTGTACTTTGTAACTTCCGTAGGATTCATACATTTGGAAAAAAGAAAAGAAACAGCTACCTCTCCCAGTCTTTTTGGACTGACTTGATACAGGGAAAGATGTTTACAAGACAGCAAGGATAGAGACTGAGAGTCTCTCAGACTTTTTCTGTAGCTGTGTCTTCTCTGATCTTGTACATGCAAACTCCCAATTGGAGTGATTTACCAGTTTCTTTTTTCAAGAGCTCATAACCTCTTTCTCCCTTGAGTGTCTGACAGTGGTGCTGCAGGTTCTCTAGAACACAAGTTAGCCAACTCCTTCTCAGCAACCTTCAGGTTTCTAAAGTATGCTAGGTTCCATCAGCTCTCCAAGTTGGGCAACACAGAAATCAGCCCCTCGGGCATCCCTCTGCTAAGCCAAAACATTGGATGCATGCTCCGCTCTTCTTTTCTCTCCCATTCCCCTGAGAGACAGGCTGCCAATCTACATTGCCCTCTCTCTGCTGTACCCTGGGTCTTCTAAAGCAGGGTCAAGTTTTCCAGTGCTCTTTTGTTATCAACATCTCCCAAGTATCTATAGTATACTGGGTCCCACTGATTCTCTGAGACAGATAGGACAGAAACTAGTACCATGAGCAGTCTCCCCAAAATATAAAACATTGGATCCCATTCTTTCCCTCCCCAGGAAGAAGCTGAGAATTGAGATTTTTTTTTTCCCACTCACCCATACTGAGTCATCCAGACTGGGACTGTGGTGAATGACTGTGTACTAGTCCAAACTGTCACTTTTGTTCTTGATGATCCCCAGTATGGCACCGTTTCCTGTCAATGCTTAGATTCAGACAAAATAGATTTTGATCCCTTGGGGAGCTCACCAAAGATTCTACATGCAGGTCATGTTTCAATCTTCTCTTTTCCTCCCTAGTGAGAAACTGGAGCTGAGAGTTTTCTCCTAACTGGACCATGCTATGCTGGGGGAAGTGACCCTACTGAAGGAATGAATTTTCCTTCCGGATTCAGTGCAGCTGATTTCATGCTTGCCTGACATGCAGAAGCCCCTTAACTATTTTCTAGGTTTCTGACAAAGGGAACTGATCCATGCTCTTTTTAATCTGTGTCCTTGGGTGAAGGAGAGTCTGGGTCTCCTATTCTGCCCTCTTGCTGACCGGTAAATAATTTCTTTATGACTTATTTCTCCAGTTCACATTAAGATCTTAAGACATATAATTCCACTTCCTTCTTTTACATTTGCACTTCCCTAGATCAATTTGTTCACAGGGTAGCAACTCAATTCATTGATTATTTCACTAAAGTTCAGTTATTTCTTGGATAAGGTAAGAAGTGATAATTTGGGGAACATTCTCTGGAAAGCCTAGAAATCAGATATTTAACTATGAGATTTGGAACCTCAGATGACCACTAATATTGATCAAATTTTAAACCATAACCACTTTATGCAGGCTACTTCATATCAATCACATACATGATTCAATAACTTCCAAATAAGCACTGCCTTGTTTTCTATGCCATGAACATTGAATATGGAGGATAAACGAGAAAAGTTATATGACATTTCTTTTGTATGGTATGCAGAGAGAACTTCACATATGCTGAATCTGGCAAAATAATAAGGACCTTACGCATCAAAACTCGGAAAAGTGGCTTAAAAGATAAATAGGAGATGAAGGAAAAGCAGGATTGAGTTTCATGAAACAAGTCATTTGTAACAAATATGAAACCTTCTAATTTAAAGGCTACAGACTTCAGAGAACATGACCAAGGTGGAAACCATCCCCCAAAATGGTTTTAAATGAATATAGAAGGGACTGTGTTCTCAACAGATTGTCATAACATAAGGCCAAGCAAGAGAAAGGATTTTTGTTTGTTTGTTTGTTTTTTAAACTGCAAAGGGACGGGGGATTTAGATAAATTCTGCTTCTGCTTTTTGATCCCTTTTCACTCATTGTCTCCAAATGTGAAAAGTTATTTAAGTAAATCCTTTTACTGAAACACTTTACCCACCATCTTATCCACCTTTTTTCCAAAACTTCATGCTTCTTGTTTTGAATTGTTTGCATACAATTCAGCTAATACTTAAATAGTGATTCTTAAATAAAATTCAGTTAATTTCCAGTATAAGTTATTATATTCTTACACAAATACAAGTATACTCTGACAATTAATCTTAACCAAAAGTGCACTTGCAGTTTCCTGTCCATATTTCATTAACAAAAAAAAAGGTCATTTAACTTGGAAAAGAGAATCAATGATGCAAAACAAAACATCGAATCAAGATAGCATTACATAAATATATGTAATACTACAATTTTAAAATTAAAAGAAAGTAAAAAAGAAATAGGACAAGTTATCCAGCAAACACTCCTCCCTCCAAGCTTATAGAAATTTAAATATATTTTTGTTTTATTTGCAGTTATTATAAAATAGCAACTATGTTCTTTTTATAGAGAGAGATTCTGAGAGGAAAGGAGAGTTCACTCTTGAAGATGTAGGGACCTTTCCTCTCAGTCACCATTTATCATTTTTATTATCTTGATGATTCCTCCTTGATTGTCCATGTCTGTTCTCTGTGCTTTTATCTTGTAAGATCATATCCTGATGTCAGACTCTATTCTCCATAGTCTGATTCACAAGAAATTATTAGAAAAGACTATTTTAAAGACCTGTCTCCTTGGGAATGATTATACACGCAAAAGGCAGCTCTCAGATAATTGAGAGTCTGGGGATAGAAGAAGTCAACCATTTTAATAGTTATCTATGTGCAGTCAACAACAGCTAATTTTTTTTAGACATTTAGGACTCTAACTAAGCTTGGGCCTCAGATCAAAAGAAATACAAAAACCACCTACTTTCATTGTTTGAATGTTTTTAATGGAATAATAAATCATAGGCAGTTCTATAGATTTTTCCTTGGATCTGCCTACTTGTGGCAGAAGAGAGTTCCCATCCTCTATAAGTTTTGTGTTAAAAGAGCACACTTGTCAAAGCAGTGAGAATTTTCTTTTCCAGGTATGTGATCAATACAGAAAGATGTCAAAGAACCTTGAGGAGAGGAAATCATGCCTTGATGCAGAGGGAAAAAGAAAAAAGTTGTGTTTTTTTTTTTTTTCACGATAGACCCCAAACTGTATTAACAGTGGGTGGCTTCGCTGATCAGCAGGTCTGCTAATAGCTTGTTGGAGTACTTAATATGAACTGACTTAGCACATGAGAAAAAATGAATGCTATGTAAGGACTCTATCAATACACCTTGGAACTTTTGGCAAGCCCTCCTGCCTTCTACACCCAAAGATTGAAACCTTCTGGGAATAAAATAGGAAATACTCAGGGGAAAGAAATTAAGAAATTTCCTCAAGAAATATTGTCTTTTTTTTTTAGGGTTGAAAAAGAGAGTTCCAAGAGTTACTTTTACCTGCTAAGCAAGGGTCATGGAGATGCTTTGGTGTTCCTAGAATTTAACATTCTTCTGTTCTCTAAAAGCAAAGTTACATCATACCAGTATAAATTAGTATAAATGTTCAATGGTGTTCTAGGCATCTTTCATGGTCTCCTCCCCCTAGATTCCTATTTTAGTTGTTTGATTCTAGTTTTTGAATTCTTGTAATGATGGTTCTACATTTTATTGGTATCTTTAATACCAACTTATATATTTTTCAGTACTTAAAGACATCTTTTGAGGTGTTAGAGTGTGTTTATGGGACAGGGGTGTCGGAGACTATACTTGCAGCTACATCTACATGTCATATGCCTAACAGCTCTGAAGAGCAGGGACTCATCTCCAGTTCATTAAAACTTCTATTGTAGCCCATAGATTCCTGTTGAGGGGAGTTTCATTTTATGTACATCTAAATTATGAGAATTCAGTTATATATGTTAGTGACGGTGGGAAAGGAGAGATCAAGTAGAAGTTTAAATCATGTAAGTGATTGTACCATCTGGTCAATGATTTAAGCTCTGTAATGAGCACGGATGTGAGAAGAATTTTCTGTGCTCTCAGTATCAGTACCATCACGGTGCAATTCACCACACAGAGGGGGTCCTAGAATTTTTATACAACATGGCCACTTAATGTTAGCTTCATCTGAAACCACACTGACAAAACAGCAATCTATTCCAAAGCTGCAGGAAAATGTAGCTATGTGGTTTTTTTCAGAGAAAGCATATTAGTCTCTGAAGTGATGCTTAAGATATCTCCAAGGGCGATTTCGATTCCACAGAATATTCATCTTACATGCAGACTTCAGAACTGACTCCAATGTAAGATGTAGCTCTGATGTGTTGTCAAAATGAAGGTAGATTAAGGACCCAGTTTTACAGAATACCTTTATTGAATTGTCTATGAGTTGTGTCCCTTTGAAATGGAGTGGTTTCTTTTTTGTCTCCTCAAAACAAGAGCCTGTTCTTGAACTGATTGTTAGAATAAAGAGTGAATGAAAGGACTGAATATAAGGCAAGAAAAGTTCAACTTCTGATGCATATTTATTACATATTTTTGGAGGAAAAACTAACATGTCTAATTATCAAGTACCATGTGCAAATGCCATACATTTTGCTCATATTTTAGGATACTTGATATATAATGTCATTAGTTTGCCGGAGTCCCAAAAATAAAAAAATGACACAAACTGGATGGCTTAAAGAATAGAAATGTCTTGTAGTTCTTACAATTCTTGAAGCTGAGAGTCCAAAATTGAGATGATGTCAGGGTTGTTTCCTTTCAGTGACTTTGAGAAAGAATCTGTTCCACGTCTCTCATCAAGCTTCTCCTGGTTTGTTGGCAATCTTTGACATTCCTGGTTAGTAGATGTGTCATCCAGCTCTCCACCTTCATGTTCACATGGTGTTCTCCCTGTGTGCAGGTCTGTCTGTGTCAAACTTGCCCCTTTTTATAAGGACATCAATCATATTAATCTAAAGTCTACCTTACTCTAATATTGATGTCATCTTCACTAATTAAATTTGTAATGATTCTATTTACAAATAAGGTCACATAAGCACCATGGATTAGAACCTTCAGTATATGAATATGGATGGAATACAATTCAACCCCTGACAATAATTAATTAACATGGCTGTATTTTCTTTATCAGTTGTCATTTGGTAATGTTCCCATTAAAGTGCAAACCCTTGAATTAAAAAATACATTTCAAAGCAATCAGCAAGTTTTGTTTAGCCTCTATTTTTGCATTAATTTTATTAGATATTATGAAATGAAAAAAACTGTAAACCAAGAGCTCTTTTCTAAGCTCTTTTCTAAGTAATTTATTTACCACCTAGTACAAGTGACAAAATAATCCAACAATTGCAATGGGTTTTACAAAGAAAAATACTTTAAAACATGCAGTTATAGAACTGACCATTCTAGATCTTTCCCATATAATGTGACAGCATCTTATGATAAGATTTTTTGTTACTTCTCTTACAGGTGTATTTTGAATCAATGTTCCTTGGTCATGTCCCTGAAAATATAAAGATCCATAAGCATATGGGCCATATTCAGGGGTTCCAGGGCTGCATTAGAGAACTTCAAGTAAACAACAAAGAATTCTTCATTATTGATGAAGCACTTCGTGGGAAGAACATCAAGAACTGCCATGTGCCCTGGTGTGCTCGTCATCTATGCCATAACAATGGCACTTGCATCAGGTCAGTGCCAGCATCTTCATCCCTGATTTCTATTGCATGACTCCAGATTCTTAAAACAGCAAAAGTCAGAAGCATTGTCAATGGGGTGATAGAAAAGAAAGCCTTGGAACCCCAAATTCTTATAATGCACACATGTGGTACACATTTATTTGCTTAGAGAAACTTGCACACTGTGGGTCCAGTGACAAGAGATTTCCCAACTCTGAAAATAATAAGGTAAATGCACCCAATTTGGAAACTATCAAAATGTATCCAAGTTTTAATGTAGGTGTTACCATTTTTTGCAAATATGAATAAGAGATTGTTATCCATTGATGATTATTTGATACATTAATGAATTTTTACTTTGTTTTTAATTCAAAAAATCCCTAGATCTCTACTATTAGAGATGAAAAATTCACCATATCTATTTTTATTTTTATTTACAATGCTATATCCATTTTCCTCCTCAAAGCAAAGATTTATCATGCTATATAAGCTTAAGAAGATCTTAATTAAAATTACTTTCTGCTTCACTAACATGTCTTCAGTGAATCAACCCTGAGGGAGTCTCATTTGGACAGTGTAGAACATATTGCTAAATTTCCCCAATCCTCTGAGAAATCTTTATTTCAGGGCTACAAATAAGGGCAGAATAGAAGCTGAAACATGCAGCGATTATAATAGTTCAAGTCAAAGGAAAATTGACCAAATCTCACAGGAAATATCTTAATTAATTCACCTCAGTGTTTCCAAGGGGCAAGCTATCAAGTAGTTAATAATGACTTCATAAAAGTAAACATCTTTGTACATAGTGTGGAAAAAGAGAAAAAGTCTATCAAAAAGGCAGGACAAGAAATGATAGGCATAAATGGGCTCTGAAAGTAATCACTAGAATAAAAAAATGAAGAGAGAGAGAGAGAGAGAGAGAGGAAGAACAAAATGGTAAAGACAGAGAACAGAAGACTGCACAGGCCTGATAATGTCAAGGTGACATATGTACCCGAGAATCACAGACTGACAGTAATAAATTTGAAGGAAAAAAATAAGCATGGTTCAATGGAAAGGAAAGTGATCATCTCTTATAGTGTCTAGAAATTTGCCTTCTGACTCACTATATCTAAGTGTGTGACTTAATTTATACATTTGTACCATAAAAACAACAGTGTAAGCCTATTTAATATAATAAAATACCACAGATAAAGTGTTAAAGAACTGACCATGATAGCTTTCCTGAAGGAAACCAAAATCAAAGCTTTACTCAATAAATGGTCTCCTTCATAACCAAACCACTAATAGCAATTGTATTGTGGTGGAACCTATGAGTTGATTTTAACCAACAGAACAACCAATTAAGCAGGGTGATAGGATGTCATTTCCATAATTAGGTTACTTAGAATTGTGAGCTGCATCTCCCTTGCTGGCTTTGATGAAGCATTCAGCAGTTTTTGGGAGGCCCACATGACAAAGGCATTTAGAGCAGCCTCCAACCAGTGAGGAGCTGAGGACTGCCTCCAACTGACAGCTAGCAGATATTGAAGCCAACAAAAAGAAAATTAATTTTACAAAGAACCACATGAGCTTGGAAATAGATCCTTTCTCCATCAAGCCTTGAAGTGAGGCCCCAGCCTGACCAACACCTGGACTGCACTTTGTGAAATTATTATGCAGAGGACCCATGAGGCTGAGTTAAGAAGTATACTTTGTTTAAAGCTAAGCTTGTGGTCATATTGCTATGAAACAATAGAAAACCAATATATTCCAATTTTATGCAAAAATATCAATATCTCCAACTCAGACAAGGGTTAGTTTTATTTTAAAACATTAACTCTCTGAGATATTGAAGCCAGTTATATACTAAATAAAATAAACACTGTTCGTTTTAATTAAAGAACATCATATTACTTTTAATCTTAGTTATTTAACAGGTATTTGGAAAAGATAATCATCCTAAGATAAAAAAAAAAAAATCCTAGGTTCTTTTAGACTTTATATGTTCATTTTCTTAGCTTTATTTCAACAAACATTGCCTGAGATTTAGGTATGAGCTAAGAGTGTGTAGGGGAAAAAATAAAAGATATATATTCAAAACAGCAATCCTGCACACAGAGAATTTTCAGTCTAATGTGGAAGCTCATTCAGCTCTTTAGGTCTCAGTGAATTTTCCCATATAAATGTACCTGTCAGTCTGCTGTTGTATACATTATATATTCTGGCCATCCATACTTATTTCTGACTTTTTCAACCTTTCAACCACTACCTCAGAGAAATCCTCTTGAATGTCAGCTGATTTTGATACACACTTTTTAAGAAATTTCACATCATATATGTGTTTTAGGCTAGACAAATGGAGATGTGTCAGCTATGTACCAATGAGTAAAACACTTTTTCACATCCTATGAACAAAATGATTTCTATCTTGATTGTCAGTGTTCAACTCCATAAACTAATCCTTGCATGACTGCACATAGACCGTGTTGGTTCATGGCAATGATGATTTTCCTTCCAGTATCCCCCTGTATATCACCATAATACACTGAAGTTGGTCAGTGCCAGAACACCAACTTGTAAAAAAAAAAAAATTCTCAGAAGGCTTACAAGAGTACTGAGGGCAGGTCAAAAAAATTTGTATATGAAGAACACAGATAACTATGGACCATACATAAGATCATCAGAATAAGAATGCTTTCACCCTTACTTGTTATGTCCAAAACCTCAATACCCATCATAAACAGAGGATTCTAGAAGTCTGCAGCAAACCAAAAGTAGAACCAGAATGTCTATAGAAGATAACATAAACTCCCAATAAGGCCATAAATAGCTTCAGTCCATTACAGTAAGATGCAAAGAACTATCACCATGACCAACACCTTCCTCTGAACAGATGCATTTCCACACTTCAAATATATGGAGTAGTATAAAGTTTTCAACAGAGAAACTCTGAAATACAAAGCAAACTCCATTATGATTCTACAAAATGAATCTTAACTATCCTAATGCTTTTGGTAACTCATTTTCCATCCATGTTGCTAGCTAAAGTGAAAGTTTTCCTTCCTCTCTGAGTTAGTCAGCTTTTCATTACTCTAACAAATTCTTAAGGTAATTAACTTATGAGGACAAAAGGTTCATTTGGCTCACAGCTTGGAGGCTCTGGTCCACGGTCTCTTGGGTCTGTGGTGAGGCTATACATTATGACGGGGAGCACATAGTGAAGCAAACTAGTCACCTCATGGCATCCAGGAATCAAAAAGAGAAAGATAAGACCATGATCCCACAATCCCCTTCAAGGGAACATCCGCACTGACCTACAACTTCCCACTAGACTCCATCACTTAAACTTTTCACACCCTCCCAATAATACCAAGCTAGGAACTAAGCCTTTAAAACATGGACTTTTGAAGAACATTCCAGATGCAAACTCTAGCACTCTCTGTCTTGCCACATTACAAAATGAATCTTTCCCGGATATCCCAGAGTCTCTTCTACATTCCCACTTTGGGTTCTGTCCTTTTTCTCAGTCCATGCCATCTGGCTCGATCTCACTGCTGAGTCTAGCCAGGCAAAGTTCTAAATGTCCTTCTTTTCTCCTGTTTGCTTAAATAGTAGATCAACTTCAGAAAGATTCATTAATATTCAACCATTCTGGATTCAAGGGGAATGGACAAGATAACCTGATGGAATTATTTTTAGGCCAGCAAGTTTTGTTGTATTTTCAAAGAAATAAACTGTTCAGAATAAAAGTCATTATTATAAACAAAATAAGAAAGCCCTTTTATATGTCTGCTTCCTTTCTCAAAATACAGAGACAATAATGTTTTAATACCAGAGTACACATGAAAATGCAAGTAACAATTTATCACCACAGTTTAATTTTTCTAATCCAGTAATTCTCATCCCAAATTTGGGGAATGCCTAACAATGAGGCATTTAAGAATATTAGAGAGGAAGGCATGTTTTGATCTGTGTGTGCATGTGTGTGTGCGCGCGCACACACACACACACACACTTGAACATTCTAATATATGTTTTCTGGATGTGCACACCTATTTTCCTCAGCAAGAATAATGGTGAAAAAACAACAGATAACCCTTACAGAAGTGTTCTCTAAACAGAAGTAGGGTTCTGAGTGAACAGAACTCAGTGCCATAGTGTTACATACTAGGGTTCACAAAATAAAATACAATTGCAGTGGATTTATAAACAAAATCATCATGAAATTTAGAAGCTTGGCTGATATAATTCAATGATACAAAATGCTGTCCCTGCATTGTCTATGAAGGTAATCTGCTTACAAGAAGACAAATTTCATGTTGAAAAGAACTAAGGGAAGTAACGCTTCAGGAGCTTTGCTGAGCAAATGTCATTCTGCTTTGAGTACCATCACATGTTTCTGGACAGTGTCCAATCTTTTTTCATTTCATTATAAATCTGTGTTAGAATTTTCAAACCCCTGTGGTTGCTCATTTCGGAGAAGCCCAAATTGCATGTAGTGAAATTCAGTTTAGAAAAGTGATACAGAGGGTTATTCTGAGTATCCAAATCTCCATGGACTTTGAACAAGCTGTTTCCAAAAGGGCATAGGAAGGTTAGCAAATTAAACAGATAATATTTAAATCACTTTTCCCTTTCTGCACCAGGTGTTTTAAAATAGGTTAAACAATAATTAAAGAGGAGCATCAGGTTTGGGAATATACCCTATGCAACCACTGCCCTAAAAACTTATTTCACTGACATTAGGGTAAATAATTATTAAGACACTAATTTTAGACTTACTCTTAATTTCAGCAGGAGCTAAGTGTATGTCAATGTGCTTTGTCATGAAATGAAAGTCAATAATTCCCATGTGTGAATGGATAAGTTTTCTGTGCTCCAACCCACCTCATGGTTTTTATTAATCACTAACCAGGGCTATCCTCCCTGTGCTATGGCAGTGGTCAGCAAACTTTTTCCATAAAGGACCAATAGCTCACATTTTAGACTTTGCATGACAGCTACTCAAGTCTCCCATTGTAACAGGAAAA